ACACGCACACGCACACGCACACGCACACGCACTCGCACACGCACACGCACGCACACGCACACACACGCACACACGCACACACGCACACACGCACACACGCACACACGCACACACACACACACACACACACACACGCACACACACACAAAAATTAAACAGACATAGGTAACAGGATTCCCACCATTTTCCCATACGTTTTTTGGTTCTTGTCTCCTCCCCCCCTTCCCGTACTTCCCTATATGTCACGGGAATCGAGGATTCATTGTGTCTGTGTCTTTTTCCCTCCTGACATGATGACGTCCCCCTTTTCCCAGGTTGTAAGGCCGAGATGGAAGCTTCTCGGCCGACCGGGGGAGGAGGCAAAGAGTTTCACGTCAGACAAGTCGGCCTCATGGATCCTGTGTGCGGTCGTTGCCAATTGATTCAGTTCGGACTGAGCTAAGACTGCTACAGTCAACCAGTATAGCAAGGATGCGCGATAAGGATGCAAGGGCCTTGGGACGCCCATTTCGAAGCTTTTCGAGCGGGGCGCGGCCAGCGAAAGCGGCGAAGGATTGACCGAGGAGGCAAGGATGCAGGGGTACCCTTGGGAAGGTTGCCCATCCTTACTGTGCGAGTTGACTGTAGTTTCCAGATCGACTCTGGCGGAAGAAGTACTGGAGGACTTTTGGATTCCCGCCCAAGGTGAAAGACCTCGGGCAGGTGAAGGACCTCAGGCAGGTGTCCAATGCCCTGGTGGCTCGCAGGGCCAAGTGTGCTGCCAGCAGTTTTTTCGCCAGCCCTGGCCCAGGGACAACCTTGAATTCAGGCAAGATGCTGCTAGTTTGCCACCCCCTCTGTTGATCGTCAGAAAGAGTTTGCTACAAGGGATTTGCCTGACCTGTGCTTGCTTCGTTGAAAGAAACCTGGCATCCTTCCAGGGATGGGCCGTCGAAATATTGGAATGTCTGTGCGCGAGAAAAGGTCTTCGACGGTGTTCAGGGCATGTCGACAGCGTGAGGGCGCAGGGACAGTCCCTGTGCTCTGTGGACTGGCCTCTAGTATTCGGTCGGGCATGTCCCCCATACAGGCGGATTTTCGACGAAAATTTTAAGGATAGTCAAAAACATCAGAAATAGTCATAAAATAGTCGAGCAATCCTCCCCGGGCTATCCTTGTTCTAATTCTGAATGCTCCTCCTGTCGAGGGACACGCCCGACGCAGCTCTAGTAAGGACTCCGACCTGGTCGGGGCGAGGCGGGAGCATGCGGAGGGGAGCCCAAAGAGGCTGCCCTTCCCTCCCCCCCCCCAAGGATCCCGAGGCGTGTGCTTCGGAGGAGCCCTTCACTGAGGAGGCCGAGGCTGCAGTTCAGCCTTGGAGGTCGGGAGGCTTGCTCGAACAGAAGAAGATGATGAAGAAGAAAAAAACGCCATAACCGCAAACTTTTGGCGCTCCGCGCGGATTTCTTGGATCTGCGCTGGGCCCCCCCCTGGCGTCGCCTCCGGCGCCGCCCCTGGCGCGCTCCGCGCGCCAGGGAGGGGGGTCCAGCGCGGATCCGAGAAATCCGCGCGGAGCGCCAACGATTTATGTTTATGGCGCTTGATCTTCCTCGATCGGAGTTCCCGCCCGCGGGACGGGCTGTCCCTGTGTGCTCTTCTGCGCCAGGTGTGGAGCCTATGCCACTTTTTTTCTGCCGGGGCGAGCGAGTTTCAGGGATTGGCAAAGATAATGCTGAGATGCTCGCTCAGAGCCAAGCTTCCCGAAAGGGCTCCGGGGTTGGGCCTTCCCAGGTCTCCTGCGGTTCGGATGTCCGGACGGCGGGGCCCTGGTTTTGGGCGCCCGAGTTATCCAGGGTAACTCGGGTCCGGGGTAACTCGGGTTTGGATTCCCGAAAAAGGAACCCGAGTTAGCCCCGACCCGAGTTACCCCTGATGATTCGGGGCTCTGGACGCCCGAGTTATCCGGGGTAACTCGGGTCCGGGGTAACTCGGGTTGGGATTCCCGAAAAACGAACCCGAGTTAACCCTGACCCGAATTACCCCTGATGATTCGGGGCTCTGATGGTTGCTGCGAGGGGCACCCGAGATCCCAGCCGGACCCTCCTCGCAGGCTCAGCGGGGCCTGAGGCTATGGGTGTTCGATCTGCTCCAGCACGTGCCTCCCCGCCTGCCTCCAAACAAGACCACCCACTCCCATCCGGGAGCCCCTTGGACACCCACCACGCGCCCAGACATGGGGTTCGGGGAATGGCTGGGGCAAGTCACCGGCCAGGAAGAGTGAACACTCCTCCAGGCGGAAAAGGCACGACGATTTGCACTGCCATGAAAAGAGATGGGATCTGTTCCCCGTCTTCGGGCCCCAGTGGCACTCCATGGAACGCAGGGCTTTAAACAACTGCTCAGGATGAAGACGAGCCCCGAGGAACACACCCTGGGGGTCAAGGATCCGCTGCCCCCAGGAGGAGGAGGCTCGGAGGTTCGGCCCTTCCGCCCGCGAGGGTGCCTCTGCCGGTCCTGCGGGGAACCCGGTGCTCTCACCCAGGGGGGGCAGCCCCAGCCTCGCCGCAGTGACGAAAAAGGTCCTCCCCGAAGGGCCCCCCTAACCCCGTTTGTTTCTGTCTGAACTGGCGGACTCGCTTTCTCTCCCTCTTGGTGGCGTGCGATCCTCCTCCTCCTCCTCCTCTTCTTCCTCCTCCTCTTCCTCCTCCTCGTGCCATCCCATCCACATCCCTTCCCATCCTCCCGACCCCGCATCCCCACCAACCGAAGAAATTCGATGTGTTGTCCCACTTGTGGCACGATGGCACGCTGCTTCCGTTAGCTACCACATCAAACGAGCTCAAGCAAGGCTGGTATAACTCTAAGAGATCCCGTGCAATTTGTCATTGGGCAGGGCCTGCGCATATGCGAGGATCCGCCGCGCGTTCAAGAGTGAATTGATAACTTCATTACCACGACATTCTGCAGCCAATAAAAGTTTGCGCGTGCTGCGATCAGCGACCTCTGAGGCCAGGGCACTGGATCAAGAACAGACGTGCAGAGGCGTGCTCGCCGTGGCGACTCGCGATCAAGTAGCCTATTTTGCCAAGAGAAGCTTCGCGCAAGCCCGATTCTTCCCCTGGGCTCACTCACAGCACGTCATCCGTTTCTCTCCGATCGCAAGGTGACGCTATTGCCGTCGCGCGCGTGACCCCCAGCAGCCGCCAGATGCAGCGGCGTGCGGCCATCGCTTTCGCAGGCATCGGCTGGCACTCCGCAAAGTAGCGACAGCTCCGTGCGCTCCCTCCTGCGATGCCACTGCAGCGTGGGTGGAACCGGCGTCCCGTGCCCCTGGCGGCGCACAGAGTCAGACTTCACCGTAAACCTGGTCGGCAGGGCGCACGGTGTGCCTCTCCCCATGGCCATAGCGAGCTCTTGGCAGCCTGCTGGCGCCCTCGGCGACGAGG